AAAAAAAAAAAAAAAAAAAAAAAAAACTCAATAATATTAATAGTAAAATGAAACAAATTGTAGATTCCTTTTACCATTTTGCTGTATGACATCCCCATATAATCAATTCCATTCAGCCAGTGACTGTGAAACCCAACAGCTACCATTTCAGCCCTTGAATAGAACCGGTGCCCAATACTGATGCCTGTTATAGCATGAAAATTAGCTACGTTAGTGTAAATAGCTTAGTTATAAGTCCTTCGGTTACATTGTTTTTATTGAGGAAATGGCCTTGCTTTAAGGGAATAAGGGAAGGGTTAAATTGTTTTTATTGAGGAAATGGCCTTGATTTAAGGGAATAAGTCTTTTTTTTTTTTTCTCCTTATCATGCACGAAAGACAAAAAAATTTCAGGGTAGCAAACATTCTCGAGAATTTCTCTTAGATTCGAACCCATAGCTAATGATAGAACTAGAATAGATATTTCCTGTTTCTTACTCACACGAGCCCATATCCTTGCTTTTCGATCGATCTCTAATTCTAATCTTCCTCCCCAATCAGATTATTATGGTGCCGGTATAGACCGAAATTCCGTTATGGGAATAAGGAAAGTAGTTGACCTCCCTAATTTATCTATATTGTTACCTAGTATATGGGAGATTTATTTAGATTTACTATTACCTAGTATCTAGGATTTAGTTCCTCTTTCTATATTATAAAAGGCACATCTCTCTCTAAAAAAAATATAAAGAATAGCAAGATAATTCAGACATGTAACATAGTATCAGTGTTTTTCTACTCTAGCAAATCTGATTAGAACCATACTCTAACTCAATTGATGAAAGACTCCATAGCTCAATCATCCACCATGATCAAGGTTCAGTCGGAGTCTTCATAGTTGTCAACCTCTCTTCATTCGGCACCTTCTCATCTTCCACCGCAAGCATTGCAAGTCCCACTGTTCCATACTCCACTACAAGCACCACAAATCCCACCGTTTCACCTCAAATCCCACGTTTCACCCCAAGCATTGCAAGTAAAGCCCTCTGTTTCACATCTGAATTAGCCCACATCCGTAAGTATTTCACTAGTGGATAGCCCACTCATTCAACTTCCCACATTAAGCCTACATCCATTGTTTCACATTAAGCCCACTGTTTCACATCACAACTATCCCTTAAATCAAGCATTCCTTCAACAGTTTATATTGTACCTTCTTTATTTTAGGGAGTAAATGGAGATTGGTATGGTGTTTTTCACGTGACCCTCTATTGACTACATGGTACAAAGTGTTGATATAAAATTCGCTCTGATACCAATTTGTAAAAAATAACAATCTGCTCTGATACCAATTTGTAGAAATAAACGCTCGCTTTAAAACTAACTTGTATAAAATGACACTCACAATACTTTGAAAGAGATGTCGAGAGGGGAGAGACAAGGGGACAAAAGAAATTCTGAAAAAACCCCTAAAAACCTATTAATTTATAGGTTTTCTAAAATCTAAAATTGGTTATCCCATAATTCCTCTCCTCCAATTAATTTGGTTTTTTCTATGGCCTTCTCCACTCAATTTCAAAAACCTTACTAAAATCAAAAACTATTTTTTTTTCCTTTTTAATTCAAATTTATTCCCAACCAAACTCCCTATAAACTTAACAAAATCAAAAACTATTTTTTTTATTTGAATTTATTCCCAACAAAACTCCCCCATAAACTTAACAAAATCAAAAACTACTTTTTTTTTATTTTTTTTATTTGAGTTTATTCCCAACAAAACTCCTCCATAAACTTAAATGCTCTATTCAATGCTCTTTCCTTTCTTCTTCCATCATCTTCTTTCTTCTTCCATCAAATTGTCTTTCCGACCATTGGAGCTCGGGCTCTCTGTTATTCGGTTGTTCATCTTTCTTCGATTTTCTCGTCTCCGCTATCAGGATTTCGCCACAATTGTCTTTCACACCGCCGTGTTCTTTTGTTTTCAGCTCTTCATTTTGGGCCATCAAGAGAATGCCTTCGTTTGTTGCGTCATCCAAGGCTAGGGTTGATCGTTTCTTCCGCCTTTTCCTCGGCTCGACAATCTCTTACATAGTGACCCATTCTGCCACAATTGTAAGATTTTTCGGAGTTACAATTATTTGCATAGTGGCCATATTTTTTTACCTTTGTAACACTGGATGTTGGAATTATATCCTTGACCGCGTCCTTGATTACATCCTCTTCCATGCCAATTTGCATGGCTCGATAGTCTCTTCTCCTTATAATTTTCTTCATAATTGTTGCCTTGACTACCTCAACTATTCTCGCAACTTCCACGACCTCTACCTTGAGTATTTTGAGAGTAGAGTATCTTTTCATCCTTTATTGATGCCTTAGTCTAAAACACTTGATCAAGTGTCTCCTTCTTTTTCTTATGTTGCTCGTGTGCCTCGAGAGAACCGGCGAGCTCATCGACTGTGAACGTCGCTAGGTCCTTCGACTCTTCTATGGCACATACAACATTCTCGAAGTTGTATGTTAACGACCTCAAGATCTTCTCCACAACCCGCGTCTCGGGTAACATTTCTCCGTTTCGATTTAGTTAATTTGTCACGATCTATACGCGCATAATGTAGTCAAATATATTTTCTGACTCCTTCATCTTCATGCTCTCCAACTCGCCACGCAGAGTCTGGAGACGCACTTGCTTGACTCGGTCGGTTCCTTTGAACACTTTTTCTAAAGTGTCCCACGCTTCTTTTGAAGTAGTTGCCCTTGCAATCCTCTCAAAGCCCGACTCGTCAAAAGCCCGGAACAGCACGTATAATGTTGCCCTCTTTTGATCGTAATTCTTAAGTGCCTTGTTTTGCGCCGCCGTATAACCCGTGGTATCCTTCGATTCTTCGAAACCTTCTTCGACCACCTCCCATGCGTCTTGAGAACCGATAAGAGCTTTCATTTGGATGCTCCAATTCTCGTAGTTTGTCTACATCAATCGTGGTAGCAGCATTTGTCCCATCATGTTCGTCATCGACCCTAATACCAATTTGTTGAAATAAAATTCGCTTTGATACCAATTTGTAGAAAATAACAATCCGCTCTGATACCAATTTGTAGAAATAAACTCTCGCTCTGAAACTAACTTGTTTAAAATGACACTCACGAGACTTTTGAAAGAGATGTCGAGAGGGGAGAGACACGGGGACAAAAGAAATTCTGAAAAGCCCTTTTATATTACACTGTACTTTTTAATTCTAACGTAACTATCTGTTATTGCTCTCTCTTGCTCGGCTCTTTATCATAGAAAACCTATCTGCTATTGCTCTCTCTTGCTCGACTCTTTACCATATAAAACCTATTAATTTATAGGTTTTCTAAAATCTAAAATTGGCTATCCCATACCCCACTCTCCCCTAAAATAATTTGGCCCTCCATTTTAAAATCTTTTTCTTTCATTCCTACTTCAAGTTAGGAATCTTAACATTGGCCATCCGGAATCATTTGTACTTCAAGTTAGGAATCTTAACATTGCCATCCGGAATCATTTGTACTTCAAGTTAGGAATCTTAACATTGGCCATCCGGAACCATCCAATTATTGGAGTAAGTGCACACACCAAAAATCTGTGTTTCACGCCTCTTTAACTAGAGTTGAAGTGTGAACCTCAATAATCTAAGATTTGGAATTTGAATCACCTTTGTATTGTATGGTCGTATTCTTTGAAAGAATGGTTTCCATCTTATTTAAAAAATAATAATTTTATAAAAATGGGAAACAATAGATGAAATTCCCCATGCATTTTGAGCCATATCCAATCTTATCCAATCTTACACGCATGTAGACATGATTTTGGCAAATAGTCATATGATGTCATGCAACGTTCGTCCGGTGTCCAACTGGCACCAAATTTGGCGAGCATTCATATTTCATAAGGACGGACTTAACTCCAGAACCGCATGCCTAAATTCCTTCTGAAACCCCGATTCTTGAGGTTAAGGCCCCGGGCCTACCCGGCCCTTCAACAATTAGTTAAAATGGAGACATAGTAATAGAAAGCAAAAATAATTGACAATTTACCTAGCATGGTATATAGCAAGATCAAATAGCTTACCATGGGACTGTTCTTTTTACAATGAGACCCTTTGATTTCATTCTTTTCAAAGAATCCAAAAAAAGACCCTGCTTCGATTCTCATAGCCGAGCTGCCGTATTAAGGAAATCCTTATCTCGAAAGTTAAATACCCACCCAGGCTTTGAGAACTCCATAATTTGCAAGTATAAAGGAAGGGAATGAATAAATGTTTATGTGATTCATCATTTTCTTTGCACAGAGCACCAGCTTAGGGACAAAGCCAGAGGCATCATTTTCTTGTCACCTTACTCTCCAAATTTAAATTTCTTGGACCAAAGTAGGATTCAGGATAACTGTGCAAAGCCAAAGGCATCATTTTCTTGTCACCTTACTCTCCAAATTTAAATTTCTTGGACCAAAGTAGGATTCAGGATAACTGTTTTTTTGCCCGGAAATCAGTTGAGCAAGGATGTTGTAGAGAAGGATGCATCCACGGAGCCATCTCGAAGAATCACCTTCCTTGTCCTTAAATTCCTTCTAAGATGTATATCCCAAAAACTATTTGTCGCATTCCAAACTCATTATACCAAAGCCGATTTTCATTGCAACGTAAAGAAGTGGATATCTTGAGACAAAGGGTGGGGTGGCTAGTGACCTAAGGATTAGTACTATAGAGCTAAGGATTAGTACTATAGAGCAACACCTCCATCCCCACTGAGGTTGGGGATAAGACTTTGGTGTTTGATGGTGAACTTCCATGGTCCATTAGTAAAGGAAAGAGAATTTGTATAATTTGTTGAGCCATATTTAGTTCTTATAAGTCTCCATAAAGCATTTTCTCCCATTTCTTTCATCTCTATTAGTTTCTCAAAGACAATGGTAGTAGAGGGAAGGACTTCTAATACTCAAAATCATAAGAAAAAATTGAGAACAATGATTATCAAGTTATGCCTAAAATGTTTGAATATCAAGTCAAAACTATTAAAGAATTAAGAATTGTTGGTTCAAATTATGGTGACCACCAATCTAAGATTTAGTATCCTATAACTTACCTTGAAAACAAAATGTAAGGGAATCAAGCAATTGTCTAGTAAGAATAGTCAAGGTATGCACAAGTGGCCGAAATACTAACGGATATTATAAAAAACGAATGTTTGAATACCTAAATCCCTCCAATTTTAGTGATCTCGTGAAAAATTTACTCTAATTGTGTTTCTACTAATTTCATTAGCTAAGAATTCTTCCTAAATAAGAACCATGCATGGTCATTGCTAGTTACTCCGATATACTCATATTATTTGTTACCTTGATTAACTTTCATTCAGACAAATAAAGTACAAAAGAGAAACCTACAAAAATAAATAGTCCAAGTAGCCAAGGCAAATTTAAGAATAGCCCTTGTGTGTTCTAAGTAGATTTTGCCTCAAAAAAGTAACAAAAATAGTTATTCAATTCTCTAAACAGTTCACATGTGCACCACAAAGATCCCTTCTAATCCATACACCGCAAACAAGGCCAAAGAAATAGTAAAAAAGTAATAAAAAAAAATTAGGGCAAAAAACAACCTGGAATGTCGCCAATTCTTTTCTCAGGATTCAAAATTTCATTTGCCTCCATCATCTGTCAGATTTTAGAAACAAGAAAAAGGAAAAATGAGTGAGGGGACATAAAAGTAAATTAGAAACTTTCCATTATCATGCTTGCATAATTACTTTTTTAAGAAGGAAACTTTACATCACCATCCTACGCTTTACTTTCCAGACTCATAAGCCTAAGAACTTTTTGGAAGACTAGGTTCGTCCATTATATCTTATCATTCTTTATCTTCTGATATCTTATCAACTCAAGAGATGACCCTTCATTTGCAATGGTGTTTTCCACAAATTAGTAATGAAACCATGCTCCATTTACTTTCAGGTAAACATTCGATGGTAAAACTAAGTGATTTGGTATAATGCAGTAAAGGCTATGCTTAACTAGATTGAGTGAAGAGGAACAAAGAATTCTAAGGACCTGCAGGACTTGGAGAATATTTGGGAGAATCCCTGATTTCTAGCTCCTAATTCGTGTAACCCTCAAAAACAATAATGGCCCTTTTTAAAATGTAGACTATAGTCCTCCTGAATTTTTTTTTTTTTTTAGACAATTTCATTGAGGAGTGAAATTTACAAGAGGGATGTATAATCCATGATGTTTACAAAAGACCTTTCCAATTTCCAAGGAGGGAGGTATAACTATGGGAAGTAAAAATATTAGACAATTTACACCAAGATATAACTTGGTAAACAACATTGTCGAAAAGTTTTGTGTAGGTCTGTATCGTTTCTGCAAATATTCTCTGATTTCTTTCTTTCCACAGATTCCAAAAGAAAGTCATGATGAGGTTTTTCCATAATAGGGCTTTTGAGTTCTTGAAAGGGTGGTACGTTAAGGCCATATCCAAAAAAATCCTTTACCTCCCTAGGAAATGTGAGATGCCATCCGAATATATTAAGAATCGCTGTCCAGAAATTTTGTGTATGTGCATTGCATAAACAAGTGACTTTGTGATTCGTTTGCTTTCTTGCATAGTGTACAGCAATTTGGAGAGAGAGTGATGTAAGGCATTCTTTTTTTGAAGATTTTCACTTGTGCTGATGGCTTTATGCGCTATTTCCCAAAAGAACTTCACCTTTTTAGGTTGATGTCCTTTCCATATTGTCTTTGCTAGCGTGGGATTTATTGCTTCTCCTTTTTCCCCCATGTCCATCATCAAGGATTTTGTAGAAAAGACCCCATCAGCGCCGGGGAGCCAAGTTAGTGAGTCTTCTTTGTTTGACAATACCACAGGGGCAAGGTCAAGGCTTCGGCCCACTCCGTTGCTTCATTATCCTTTAAATTCCTACCAAGCTTCAAGTCCCAAAATTTGTTGATAACATTCCACGTTTCTTTAGTCGTGGTTTTTTTGTTCTGAGAAAGCCTGCCTGTACAAAAGTGGATACTTCAAAGCTAGCGAGGTGTTTTCAATCCAAGGGTTGGTCCAAAATGATGTGCTTCCCCCATTCCCCACCTTATGGCGAGTTCGGTGGGTGATGAGATTTTGATGTTTCTTTATGTACTTCCAAGGCCCTTTTGTAGAGGATGGAGAGAGGTGATCTTTGTTTGATGTAGGAGTATATTTAGCCTTTATAAGATTTCGCCATAATGCCTTTTCTTCATGATGATATCTCCATATCCATTTGGCGAGGAGAGCTGTGTTCTTCTTCCTTATCAAGAGAAAACCGAGACCTCCCTTTTCTGTTGGGAGGTTTATGATATTCCAACGAACAAGGTGTGCGCTATTTTTCCACAAGTAATTTCTGAAAAGTCTTTCTATATCCGCAGCCACTTTTTGTGGCATTTCAAATAGAGACATATAGTAGGTAGGGAGGTTCGATAATGTGGATTGTATTAGGATAAGTCTTCCGCCTTTTGAAGTATAATGTGATGACCATGTTGACAACCTTCTTTCTATTTTCTCAATAATAATCTTCCAGAAGGAAAAGGATTTGTGATTTCCTGTTAGAGGTAGTCCTAGGTACATATTCGGCCATTCTCCCTTTTTACAACCATATATGCTAGCAAATTCATCAATGATCTCTGTGCTAATATTGATGCCCATGATCTCTGTTTTTTGGAGATTGATATTTTATCTAGAGAATCCTTCGAAAGTTTTTACCGTCTCAATCATGTTTTTTATGGAAGAGGCATTCACCAAATCAGAAAAGAGGATTGTGTCATCTGCGAACTGAAGGTGGTTTATGCTCAAGCCTTCATTACCAATCTGAAAACCTTTGATCTACCCTTCATATTCTGCCTTTGTTAGTAGGCGACTGAGACAGTCCATTACCATGATAACCAAAAGTCAAGGAACACAAACATTAAATGGAAAGAGGCTCCAAACGTTTAATGATAAAGAATAAGATATATTCACCAAAGGGTTTTAAGCTATAAGCCTAATGGGATTCTTCGTCATGGTAAGAGGTCGTGTCAGCTCATTGTGTCTGGTTTCTTCCTGATTGGGATAGTTCCAAGTGAAGCTATTAAATAGTTAACAAGTTGTTAACAATTTAATTACATTTGAGGGTCAAATAGATCCTAGTCATGAACTCGACAAGTCTCATCGTAGTAGAAGAATTACAAGATGACTTAACCTTTACAAGGCCTTAATAGGTAACTACTAACTAATCCCTTACAAGTAATTCTTAAGAAACTTGACATGTGGTTCTTTTCCCAGTCCTTTCGTATTCTCTTAATATTCAGTAAACTTAACTTTTATAGTGTCATTCCAAGTAATCCCTACAAGTAATTCTTAAGAAGAGTCTAGAATGATTAGTAAACTTAACTTTATAGGGTCATTCCAAGTAATCCTCCAAGTAATTATTAAGAAGAGCCTAGAATGATTTACAATTAGCCAATGTGAAAATTTGGTCATACCAACACCACAAGGCTAAAGTCTCTTTCAAGTCAAGTGAAGAAATACTTAACGGAAAAGGGTTGCTAGAAACATCAATCAAGAAGAAAATAAATGGAGCCCATAGCTCTAAAAGGGAAGAGACCTCACAGGGAGTTTTGACCAGTTGCTCGTTCGCCTTTTGTATATAAAAGGCACATATGCCTCTCTGAAAATTGGGAAGAAATTCGAGCAAGATAATTTTGCACTTGCTAATACATGCGGTGCAAGCTTGATAAATCTTCTGTAATTATTTTCTTGGTGATATTGGTAATTTGATGAGATTTTTGTTGCCGAATAGCCTTTTGCAGATTTCATTATATCGATGAAATTAGATTGTTTCTCCTTTACAAAATAAATAAATAAAAAGGAAAATAAAATGCACAACCAAGGCAGAGAAATATTTGCACCAGCCTGTAGAAAACACATCAATTTGGACCAAGGACAGAAATAGAAGCTTTCTACTAAGATTCTAGTGGTGATATTTCTCCATAAGGCTACAAACTACCATGGATTGGCATTGTGTCACAATCACACTTCATTGGAATTCATGAAATGACTGTGCGAGAGTAATACTCTCGCTCTCAATCTAGACAGACAGCTCAATTGGATTGCCAGTAGCACAAATGACATATCTCCTAGCCTCTACCCCCGCTCTTGGAAAATGGGGGTTAGAGAAAGTTCTGAAAAATATTTTTAAGAAAGTAGGTAATATGCGCTAACAAGCAATAAGAGACAACAACAGCATTGAAAGCATTGAAAGCATATAACCCAGGTAGGAAGATTTAAGAACAAGTCATATCCCCTTATCGTATATTATGGGACAATTTGTGTTTAGCAAGTGTAGACATCAAACGTGGGGAAGAGTTGTATGCCAACAATGTTACAAAGAAATAAATAACTATCCTAGAATGAAAGACATACAAAAAAAAATCAAGGTTGGTTTAAAATGGGACGCGGCTATAGGCAACACGCCGACAAACATTATCATGACACATATCAGTCAATGTAAATAATAAAGAGCTTAGAGAGAACAGATTCAAGCCATGATGTCATCTACCTAAAGTTTAATATCCTACAAGCTTTGGAAACTATCACCAAATCGAAGCATTCAATCAACATTTGATCGTGCTTCCTCCAAAAATCTGTCCAAAGTCCTAAAAATCCTATTGTACCGAGGTCCCAAAGGATTGTAAAGAAGCTCGTCTTCCACAAAATCAAATTTCTATCATGAAAGGGCAGATGCCAAAGAACCTCCCCCACGATCAAGCTGCACTCTTTATTTCTAGCTAAACAAACATTGAACATCTGAAATCTACCATTGCAAATTGAAATCCCGAAATCCCAAATCCCACCCCTCAAAAAAAAATGATCTCCTCTCTCTCCTCTCCTAATCTTCTTAATTCCAACGGGAGGAATCATACCTCTGCAATGTGTTCGATACTTTTCTGTATCTTAGAGAGATAGACTATTAAGAAATGTGCAAAGATAACTAATCAATCAAAAAATAATCCAGCTCACTGAACTAAAACGTTAAAGGGAGATTAAGCCAAGCAACAAAATTTCATGCTAGATAACTAGTGGAATCTTCAACTGAACACTGCACGAGTTGGATAATGATTAATCAAACAACAGGAAAAAAGGTTCTAGAGGCTTGACATGTTCAATAACAACTTGCCTTTGTGATTGCCTTCAAATCTGGCCGCTTGCGTTTGCTTTTTGTGTCTTCTTCAGGAGCCGCCTTCTGTATAAATTTCAAGCAATAAGATAAATACGTAAAATCATGATGACAAAGCATGTGGTAATTTGTCTTTGACGAATATTCTTTTACCGACACAAAGAGAGCCAGTTCCAAATGATCCGGAACATAGAAATGAGAGGATGATTTAAAACCCCAAAAAGAATCCAAATCCAAAGATTAATTGTAGTACGTCCAAATTAGCTAGCTGTTTTTTTTATTAGGGAGAAAGGCTAACTAAGCCCTAGATACTAGTAACAATAAATACTAGGTAACAATAAATACTAGGTAACAATAAATCTAATAAATCCAATAAATCCCTAGATACTAAGTAACATTAAATCTAAATAAATCCAATAAATCTCTACATACAAGATAACACGAACTCTAAATAAATCCCTATAAATGTAACAGTAAATCCTAGATAACAATAAGAGACTACACAAATATCTCCTAACAAGGCTAACCCTTCGACACTCCCCCTCAAGCTGAGTAATAGATATCACATTCTCACCTTGGATACTAACTCATGAACAATACAAATATCTCCTAACTAAGACTAACCCTTTAACACTCCCCCTCAAGCTAAGTCATAGATATCATTCATTCTTAGCCTGGTTACTGAATCAAGAAGTAGTGTTGTGAAGTTCTTTTGTCAACACATCTATCAGTTGAAGTCATGAAAGCACATAACTCATGCATACTATCCCTTGGAGCACTTCCACAGGTGTGTCGTTGCTTGCCTCTCTCGTGCTCCCTCCTCTTGGAACACTTCTCCATGGGCGTTGCTTGCTTCTCTCATGCTCATTCCTCTTGGAGCACTTCCAAGGACGTTACTTGCCTCTCTTGTTCTCACTCCACTTGAAGTACTTCCACGGGCGTCGTTTGCCTCTCTCTAGAAGAACATACCTAGGGTTTATCCTATTTTTCTTGTTGTCCCGCATTGCATTCCTGGCCAATTCCATAGCCTTTGTGGCAAGGTATTTGAAGACAGCAGCTAGGTAGATCGAAGCATCAACAACAGAGCACTTTTCGTATTGGACTTTCTTAAGGTATCGTCTAATTCATCCATTCGGGCATTGGAGTCCAACCTTACAAATTTGGAGATCCTAGTGTAGTCGCCCCCTTTTCTTCCTCTTGACACCCTTGGTTCCCTTAATTATTGAATACTTCAAATTTGAATCTCGTAATTTGACGTTATATGATGACAACTGGAAGAACGACTTGAGATTTTTCTGACATGATGGTGAAAACACCCTTGGTTCCCTCCAATCTTGCTTGTTGGGCCTTTCTTAAAAAATTTGGATTCCCAAAAATTGATAGAACACGTGGAACTCCAATAATGATCCTTAAAGAAGCACAAACTTCATGGTTTCAAACCCACTTGGGCTCCTACCTTTGTTATGCAATGGGCCACACTATTGTTGTTATTGAATGGGCATTGTCTGATGTTGCAATAGAAATCGCAAGTGGGCTTGACAAAAGAGTTCAAGGCATCAAGTGGGAACGTGTGATGTCCCACCTTGGTTGTGGAGGAGAACAAAACACCCTTTATAAGGGTGTGGAAACCTTCCTCTAGCAGACGTGTTTTAAAGCCTTGATGGGAAGCCCGAAAGGGAAAGCCCAAAGAGGACAATATCTGCTAGCGGTGGATCTGGGCCGTTACAAATGGTATCAGAGCCAGATACCGGACTATGAGCCAGCGAGGAGGTTGTTCCCCAAAGGGGGTAGACACGAGACGATGTGCCAGTAAGGACGTTGGGCCCCAAAGGGGGTGGATTTGGCGGGGGTCCCACATCGATTGGAGAAAGGAAAGAGTGTCAGCGAGAACGTTGGGCCCCAAAGGGGGTGGACTTGGTAGGGTCTCACATCGATTGGAGAAAGGAAAGAGTGCCCGCGAGTATACTAGCCCCAAAGGGGGTGGATTTGGCAGGGGTCCCACATCGATTGGAGAAAGGAAAGAGTGCCAGCGAGGATGTTGGGCCCTGAAGTGGGTGGATTGTGATGTCCCACCTTGGTTGGGGAGGAGAACAAAAAACCCTTTATAAGGGGGTGGAAACCTTCCCCTCGCAGACGCGTTTAAAGCCTTGAGGGGAAGCCCGATAGGGAAAGCCCAAAGAGGACAATATCTGCTAGTGGTGGATTTGGGCCATTACAGAACGAAAATGGAATCAAATTTTCCAGAGTAGAAAAGGTATGATACCATGTTGCAAGTCTAAATTAGCTTTCTATTTTTCTTATTAATTTCAGAGTTACATGTTCCTTGTAGAAAGGCTAACTAACTCCTAGATATCAATAACAATAAATCTCAAAATACTAAGTACCAGTAAATCTAAATATATCAAATAAATTGCTAAATAGGTGCGTAAATCACACAAATATCTGGCTAATCCTTCAATACTCTCCCTCAATTTGAGTAATAGATATTATTCATTCTCAGCTTGAATGCTAAATCTTCAATTTGACTATGTCCATTAAACTGACTATGCCCTCAAACTGAGTAATGGATATCATTCATTCTCAGCTTGAATACTAAATCTTCAATTTGACTATGTCCATCAAACTGACTATGCCCCTCAAACTGAGTAATGGATATCATTCATTCTCAACCTGGATACTAGATCATGAATTACACGAATATGGAAGACTTGCATGAATGATAAAAAGCTGGCACACAAGCCTACCTTAGATTTTGACCCTTTGGAAACTTTTTGAGCTACTTCAGCTTTTTTGCACCTTTGTTCCTCTTCCTTTTAGTTTAAATGAACACAAAATAACCAAAAGTTAGCTGACTATAAACTTCCATGTGCATAGATTTAGAAATAACTCCAAACGAAGTGACATGTCCAAGCGACAAACCTGTACAAAATGAAGATAGTACTTGTTGAACAACCTAAGAGTCTCCTTAACCTTGGCATGGTCACTCTTCTCAACCACATTGGCCGGACCACCTTCGTCAGCAGTTGTACTCTTTTCAAGCGCACACACTTCCATTGGCTCGCTCGCTCCACCGTCTTTAGATTTAGTGACATCGTTGGATACCGGAACAGCAACAGCCTTATCTTCCACGGCCTTATCTTTAGATTTAGTGTTACGCTTACTTCTTACCGGACCGTTCTTCTTCTTCCTTTTGCTCGGACTGTCGGTTTCATCAAGGATCTCTACTCTTTGACGCACTAGGAGCTCCTTGTCAGCCAGCTGTTTTATCTGGATTCGAGCACTCGTCCTCCTCTGAGGAGAAGGAGATGGCTCCTCTGCATCTCCCTTCACTGCGGCAGCTTTAACATTCTTCCGCCCACGCGTAGCTACTTTAGCACGCTTCGGCTTCTCTTCGGGAGTTACTGAAGAATGCAGCTCTCCATTAGTAGCAGAGCGGAGAACTCGCGACTTCACAACCATGATTCAGCTCAAAAACTCAAAAACCTGCGAGAATACACAACAGCAACGGATGAACAAAGCTAAAAGAAATTCATAAAGGTAAACAAACGAAAAAAAAACGCCATTAAATAACAGAAAGAAGCAGGGGAATGCACACGGAAAGCGGTCATCATCGAGTTGAATGCAAGAGAAATAGAAGCTGCGAGTCAATAGGGAGAGAAGGCGAAAGGATTTAGGGATTTCAGGTGCCGCAGAAATGGCGCGAGCAGTTGCGTTGAGAGATGGTGGGCGCGAGGCTTGAAAAGCTAGTGCGGGGTTTTATTTATAGGTGTACGGACACTCGTCGAAAGTGAGCTAGTTTGGTGTCGCCATTTTCTGTGGCAGAATCGCCAATTTCAGCTCCTTTCTTTTTCTTTTTTTCTTTTTTTTTTTTGTTAAGTTGAAATTAAACTAAATAAAAAAAATATATAATATAATTTATAAAAACTCAAAGTTCGAATGATACACCATAGTATTTCACAGACGTGTATGTATATGTGGTTGTGGTGCGGGTTAGGCGGGGATGGGAATATAACCCCGACTCCATTTAATTAACGGGAAAAAAGCTCTACCCACTCTCTCCTCGTTTTTCATTTAAACGAAAATTTATACCTGATTTAAGGTTCGGGAGGTTAAATTGACATCTCTAACAATCGCGGATTTCATAACATGTTAAGCAGCCATTCACCGTAAATACACTTTATAACTACATAACTCAGACTAAACAATTTTGTACGTCAAACATGGACTCCCTAATCCAAACTAAATAACTCGATACCTCAAATACATATTATTTAACTCTACCGACTAAATAGGTTCAGACTTAAAAGCTTAACTTAATAGCTCAAACGCTTCATAACAGTTAAATTTAAATCACTCGCTATTGGTATTATTTGAAAAGGTTATTTTTTTATTATCATTTATGGGTCGGTAAAAATTATTTAAGACTCGAAACTATTAATTCGTTGTTCTTATTTCTCTTGTTTACGGTAAAAGTTTAAGCCCACCATTAGCAAATATTATCTCTTTTGGACTTCCCCACAGAGGTTTTACTACTATCAGAAGTTTTACACCCTTATAAAGAATGCTTAGTTTTTTTTTCATATTAACGCCCGATCTCACATTTACTTGGCTAGAAATGAATCACAATTCATTATGATATGATTGGGTTAAAAAAATATATTAAATAGCACGTTAATATAAAATATAAATGACATGATTGTAATCAATAATAACATTTTTATTTTTTTATTATTCTAATGTTTTGTTTAATACAACGTATTATATTTAATATTAATATATTATATTTGAATAATTTTTTATGATGTCATAAATATTAAATGACATAGAGCGAAAGAGATGGGAGAGCTGTCGAAGTAAATAAAATTCATTGTTTAAATACACGATTGTCGAAGTAAATATCGTATATTGTAGGATAGACTGGATTATAAAAAAAATATAAAATTACAAAATAAATAATAAAATAAAATAAAAATCCCTCGGGTGTTTTAAGGGGTTTCCTCGAGCATATGTGACTTGATAAAAAATGGATCGATACAAGCCCATATGTACTTGCCAACCACTAAACAATAACCAAAAGAAAGAGTGCACAAGTACGTTGCACGTTTTAGTGGGGAGTCGGTGGAGATCGAAAGATACATATATGTACAAGTTTGAACTGTCGTAATAATTGGATTTGGAAATAAAGAATCTTTCGATGTAAATACAATTCTTATATTTAATTCATAATAAAAGCACGAAAATACTTGTTGAACTAAATTATAAGAGAGAAATAAACAATTATAAAAACAAAACGAATACAGGAAAATCGTACGATCAAGATAGAGTCGAGGGAAGTTCACATTCCAACTTGGAGAAAATGGAAGCAGGAGAACAGGAGAGAGATCGAGACCACCCTAAAATTGATGTAGCATGAAAATTTGAAAATGTACTACAACTATTATCCCGCTCTAGACAAACACCTACCCTTAATCGAGGCTCGACTCCTTTTATTTTGGAGTCATTTGTTCGACATTTGAGGATTCTATTGACATTACCAAGTTTACGGCATAGCTCTGCTACCATGTTAGATGAACACGACTCTCCACAATGATACAATATTGTCCACTTTGAGCATAAACTCTCGTGGTTTTGCTTTGGGTTTTCCCAAAAGCCCTCACAACAATGAAGATAGTATTCATTGATTATAAACTCATGATCATTCCCTAAATTAGCGAGACTTTTCTCCAACATTCCGATCATTTATTCACTTTTTAATTTTCAATAAAAGTTAGATATTTAATTAAGATTTATCCCGAGTCAAAAATTGTTTTTTTAGAATTATTAGAAACTAAATAATAAAAAATTAAGAAGTAAATAAATAAATAAACAAATAAATATATATAATTATATGTTAATAAAAAATTGTATATTTTAAAATTAATTTATTATTTTTATTTATTTTGAGATTGAGAGAGTTATTTAGTTTTCAACATCAAAGCTGAATTTAAAGTTTACCTAAAATGTAAAATTACTATTTGAACCTTCATAACCCATACGAAAGGACGTGTCAAATCATATAATTATATAACCAAAACAAAAAAACATTTAGAACGGGTCTCTGTCTTCTCATCCGTCGCTGTTTTTCCCCTTCACGTAGTGCCAGATAGACAATAAAACAAAGCGAGGATAGGTAAGTCATTTCACAATAAAATACAAACATTTAAATATTAAAGCTTCAATATATTATTTTAAAAACTAACCTTATTATTTTAAATTTTGAAATAGTATCTTTAATCTTTAATGAACATTTCAAAATAAAATTAAAAAATGGTTAAAATATTTAACAAAATGTGGATATGTCTAAATACATTATTTTAAAGGTAAACCAAAAAATTTATAATTGACCCACCAAATTTTTTAATATTTTAATAAATTAAAATATTTATAAAATAAAAAATAATTAAAGATATCTATTTAACCCATGAAAAACATCGAAGGAATTGTTGAAGATTATTGGGAGTGAGTCCCACATTGGTTAATTTAGTGGAAGATCATGAGTTTATAAATGAGAAATAATAACTCTATTAGAATAAATGAGGCATTTGGGCCCCAAATTAAAGGCATGAGAACTTACACTTTACACTGCAAGTGACTTTAAATAGAAAATATCATACAATTTAGAGAGTCGTGATTCCTAACATAGTATAAAAGCCACGTTGTCTCCCTCACAAATAAATTTCCGTTTTATAATTTTGCTTATGAAATATTATTAAATATATAAGGTGCTAAAAAAAGAATTGTTCTCCACACAAAGAAATAATAAATTATACGATATAAAATTGATATATATATATATATATATTAATTAAATTAGGGAATTTTGGTCGACCTCGGTTGTGTCGGTCGGCATGGGACCCACTAATCCACTAACAAAAAAATCGTATAATTTGGATTTATGGCTAAGCAACTAATCATTTCTGACGGTAGAAGAATTACCAAGAAACAAAAAACGACAAAGATGAAAGGGCGTAGCACTTGGCGGTTGAATTTCTAAATAAATAAATAAATTAATTAAATATTATTGAAATTACCCGACAGGTGTGTAGAATACAACAGAACATTTCCCCTCCGAACCGAGCGGCCAGTTTCAGGAGAATTTTTAGTGTTCAACGGATGGTTGAGAGGAGCGACAAATTCTGTGGCAAATTTTTAGTGTCTCTTCATCATATTTATGATTAGTTTTCTAATCCACTCGGACTGCTGTTCTCGACACTGTTTCGGACGATATACTTTGCTGATTCCGAGGTTTTTTCTTCCCGTTCTGCCTTGTTCTTTAAGGCATGAATTGAACATTCTTGTCGCGAATCTTACTGTCTTTTGCTTCGGTATTTGGTCATTCCTTCAGGGATTATTGTCGGTCGTTGCTGAGCTCTTCTATTTCGTTGGTTCTAAACTATGGGGAAGAACAAGGAAGTAATTCGGCTGGAGCGTGAATCTGTCATTCCGGTGTTGAAGCCGAGGCTGATCATGACTCTGGCTAATCTAATTGGTTCGAACACCTCTCTTTCTGGTTTACAATTTTTGGGTTTCTGTTGTTTATGAGTTCTAGGACTGTGTTTCTCCGCTCTCTAAACTGCCTGTTTATGTCTATTTTGTAACATTCGTTTTGAGTAGGCTGGTGCTATTATTCTCTTTGTATTGCTCATATTGTTGTTGTTCATAATGCTGTTGATGTGAACCCTTTTCCTTGGCCTGTGATTTTTCGTTTTGGTTTAAGGGTAGTGTGAGATCCCAGATCGATTGGGGAGGAGAACGAAGCATCCTTTATAAGGGTGTGGAAATTTCTCCTTAATAGATGCATTTTAAAAACTTTGAGGTGGAGTCCGAAAGGGAAAGCCCAAAGAGGACAATATTTGCTAGCGGTGGGCTTGAGCCATTACAAATGGTATTAGAGCTAGACACCGTGCGATGTGCCTGCGAGGAGGTTGAGCCTCGAAAGGGGGTGGACATGGGATGGTGTACCAACAAGGACGTTGGGCCTTGAAGGGGGTGGATTGAGAGGTCTCACATCGATTGGAGAAGGGAATGAGTATCAGTGAGGACGTTGGACTCCGAAAGGGGGTGGATTGTGAGATCCCACATCGGTTGGGGAGGAGAACGAAACATCCTTTATAGGGGTGTGGATATCTTTCCTAGTAGACGCATTTTAAAAACCTTGAGGGAAAGCCCAAAGAGGACAATATCTGTTAGCGGTGGGTTTGGGCCGTTACAGATGGTATTAGAGTCAGACACTAAACGATGTGCCAGCGAGGAGGCTGAACCTCGAAGGGGGGTGGACACGAGGCGTTGTACCAACAAGGACGCTGGGCTCCGAAGGAGGGTGGATTGAGGGGTCCCACATCGATTGTAGAAGGGAACAAGTGCCAGCGAGGTCTTTGAGCCCCCGAAGGGGGTGGATTGTAAGATCCCACATTGGTTTGAGAGGAGAACGAAGCATCTTTTATAAGGATGTGGAAACCTCTCCCTAGCAGACGCGTTTTAAAAACCTTGAGGGCAAAGCCCAAAGAGGACAATATCTGTTAGCGGAGGGTTTGAGCCGTTACAGGTATGCACTTCTAGAGATAGAAGAATGACCACGGTTCATTACTATTTTCTTGACCACGTGCCAAACTGAGACGACAGATCCTAAAAATTCATGTTCCATTTATAACTCGGTTGCTGATTGTTTTCTCGCTTTATAGAACATAGTTCAGATCGAGCTGAGTTCTTGA